CGTTGAAAATGACAAAGGGATGTCGGGTGATACAAGCAAAATTGTCACCCTAGTTCCAGAAAATTGCTGGATAAAACTCTTTCAGTATGTTCACACACCCTATTTATGCGCATACGATAGCCAAATAATCTAACTCAAAGAGAATTTATGTCCAAAAATCTCAATTAGAACCTTTTCGTATTTCTCAAGAATATAGAGCTTACTTGCACCCTTCGTATCGAAGAAGTCGAAAAGAGCCTCTTTTGATCCCGTCCTCGTTTGCAATTGCCCTGAAAATTTCTTTGAGCTGGTCTGAAACACCGTATCGCCTCCTTTTCAAGTAAAAAAGGATGTGAAAACCATCACATAAAACTTACCTCAGATTTAGAAGAACGTGATTGTTTTGCAACATTGCGGAGGTCTCCCTCAAACGAGCCCCGAAATCTGTCTTTTTAATCAATGAGTAAACAGTGCTGCCACACATGAGACTTGTAAGGTCTTCCAGAGGTAGAAGTGACACCTTGAACGATTAATAGTGCTCAACCGAGAATGACACTAGAAATGAATTACGGTACCTCTTCTAGCATTGATCCTTGTTCGGTATCAGTTATAAAATCCCTGACGGTTGGTATGTAGACCCGACTATCGCAGAACGGACAGTTTGCGTGTTCTTTAGGGAAGACCGTCGATTTAAGCAATTGACCGAAAGTCTTTGGCTTCTTTGTCACCGGTTCTCCCCTTCGGCTGAACTCTGCACATTATCTGCTGAAAAGGGTTGATTCTTAGAAAGAAAAGCAGAAGCAGAGAAAGTAGCATATTTGATGTGCCACACTTAAGCACTTAAGAACGAACCTTGTTGTGTACCATCTTTTTGAACACCTTTCCTTATTTCCTGTGGATGATAGCCCAGTCGAACCTTTCTCGTCCGGATTTAACTCGTTTTCTACTGTTCATCAGTTAAAACCCAAAAGCGATGGATTAAGTAAAAAATGAAAAGAACAGGCGAAATACAAACAAAATTGTCAAACGATCAAATCAGAATAAATTTCGCAAGTGCCTGAAAACACGTATTGGAAGCCTTTCGGAAAATTCTCCAACTTCTCTCTTCTTGCAGATTCGGCATATTAATAGTTGTAAGTTTGTTGGTTTCTTGTTTCGCACGAGCTTAGTAGATGGAATATTTATTAAATGTCCTAGCGTTTTGTATAAAACGCTCGTTACAACCTAACGCTTATGTGTGGCAGCGGACCTCGGCGCTCAAAAGGTGGACCGTCGACTCGGTGGCGCGACTGGTAGCGGTCTTGCTTTCTGAAGCAGAGGTTGCGCAGTTTGGTTCTTCCCGAAGTTTGGCGTTGTGCTTTTTTCAAATACTGCTGCTGAAAGCTTTTGTCGAATATATTATTTCATCAATGAACCCTAAGCTGCCAGAGTTGCGACAGTTCGTTATGTTGACACTGCTTGCTTATAGTGGCTAATAGTACCGTAGTGCATGTGCTACGGTTGTCAGTGGCAAGTTTAAACGATGTTCGGTCAGGAGATCCGACTACCACTAAAAAGCGAAGTTTAGCCCAGAACGAGGTATATACCTAGCTACAAATAGAGGTGCTGTGCACCGATTATCACCCTCCATATTTCAAGTTAAGGTTTAGCCAATCATGACGACGGCCCGAGCGCCGCGACCTGCCGGGCGTCCGCGGCGGCGCGGGCGCCGGCGGGGGGTCCCGCGCGCGGCCGGGCGGGCAAAAGTAGGAGAGGGGTTATATTAGAAAAAGCCTGCAATCCTATGCAGATGGGTAACCGAACACTATTTCTCTCCTTCTGAAGTATATGTGTTCAAAAGGTATTAGATTACCAGTACGACCTTGCAATGGATTGATAGATATATGAGGGACTGCCCAAATTTCCAAGGTCAGTTAAAAATTCAGATTTGGCCAGAAGTCTACCCGAAGGAGACATGAATTTCTCTGAAGATCTTACCCGCTGGTGTTGTGTATAGAGGAAAAAGAATGAAAATAATCTCTCGAGATCGAGGATGACGGCCATTGCATTCACCTGTATCCCTGTATCACTGTCGTCCCGGTGAAATTAGGAAACAAAAAAAAATCATCGAATTGCTCGAGCGGGCGCCAGCAACGTCTCCATTCGTCCCTGTCGCGTGCAAGAGTTGTCCAGTGGACCCTCCTCGCTCGAGGGACACGGTGTTCTTCATTCCTTTCGTTCAGAGCTTTCGTGAAGAAGTCTGACCATCGGGCCGGCGGTCGTCCAGGTGTTCGTTTGACGTCCCGAGGGATCCAGTCGGTAACCGCTCTGGTCCAACGGTCATCGCAAAATCGCATGACGTGTCCGGCCCACCTTATCTTCGATTCCTTGGCGAAAACGGCAGCGTCCCTGATCTTCGATCGTTGGCGTAGTTCGGCACTCCGGATTCCCCTCTGCACTTGCGTGTATAGGGTTACTCCTAGCATCGTCCTCTCGACAGCGCGTTGGATAACGCTGACCGCATGCTCGTCCTGCCTGCGCAGAGTCCAAGTCTCTGAGGCGTAGGTTAGGGCAGGAAGGACAGCGGAATCGAAGAGGTGGGCACGGAGCCGGATGTTCTTCGTCTTCTTCACTACTCCCTCGATGTTCTTATACGCTCCCCAAGCCGCTCGTTTCCTCCTGCTCAGCTCTGGAGCTAGATCGTTCATCATATTGATTTCCCGACCTAGGTACACGTAGCTGGAGCATTCGGTGATGTTCGTTCCGTTGAGCGTGAATGGGGCATCAGGAACCAATCCGTTTCTCATAAACATCGTCTTCGTTAGGTTCAGCTGTAGACCAACCTTACCACAGGCGCAGTCGAAATCAGCCAGCATTCGCTCCGCTTGCTCGATGTTCGGCGTTATAAGAACGATGTCGTCAGCAAAACGAAGGTGGTGTAGTTGCCGGCCGTCGACCTTCACTCCCATGTCTTCCCATTCCAGTTGACGCATGACGTTCTCGAGAGCGGCGCTGAAGAGTTTGGGCGAGATGGTGTCGCCCTGTCGAACCCCTCTCTTGACGTCGATGATGACCTCCTTGTAGAATGGTGAGATTCTGGTCGTAAAGTTGCTGTAGAGCTCACGAAGAATCTTGATGTACTGAGTAGGGACGCCCTGGTTGCCCAAGGCTTCGATGACCGCTTCTGTCTCCACAGAGTCGAAGGCCTTCTTCAAGTCGATGAACGTGAGACAAAGCGGCATCTTGTACTCTCGTGAAACTTCAATGAGTCTTGTAACCGTGTGGATATGGTCGATCGTGCTGAACCCTCTTCGGAACCCTGCTTGCTCGCATGGCTGTCCTTCATCTAGTATTCTGCCGATCCTGTTAAGGATGACTCGAGTGAATAGCTTGTAGATTACAGACAGCAGGCAGATTGGGCGATAGTTGCCAATGTCGTCCAGGTCTCCCTTCTTGTACAGCAACACGGTCCTGCTGGTTTTCCACGGAGTGGGTACCTTGCATTCCGACAGGTAGCGCGTGAAGAGTCGAGCCAGAGTTTTGATGATGACTGGCGGCGCATTCTTCAGATGTTCCGGTTTGACCCTGTCGAGACCGGGTGCTGTACGATTCTTCACCGACTTGATGGCGTGTCGGACTTCGGAAGAGAGTACTGAGGGGACGACGTATCCATCCTGTTGCAGTTGATAAGTGGGCAGATGGACATGGCTATCGAAGAGATCCGAGTAGAAGTCGTGGATGACTTTCTCCATTGCCCTTCGGGATGCAGTGACTGTGTCCATCGGACGTCGGAGCAGGTCATCTTGCGTCGTGGTAGCTGGCCAAAGCATTCGCGGCAAGCGGATGCTCTCCCAGCCTCTGCTGCTTCAGCTAATACTGCTGCTCTTCGCTCCTTGAGATCTTCCTTTATCGCCTCTCTGCATAGCTTCGCAAGCTCGGACGTGAGTCGGTGATTGCCTGCAGCTCGTGCGGCTCCACGCTGGCGTATCAGTTCGAGAGTTTCCGGAGACAGACGTCCCTTGGTGACTTTCAAACTCTCTGCCTTCTTGCCACAATCGTGAAGATGTTCAACGAGCCGATAGTACTCCTCGTCGATGTTTTCGATGACGGAATCCTCCCATAAGCTGACGAGGGAAGCGAAGTGTCCCAGTTGATGACTGTCCTGGGCTTCGCTTCCTGAACTTCGAGGCTCTCTCAACACGCATCGAAAAGTGGAACTTTGCGCGGAGGAGACGATGGTCCGATCCCGTGTAGAACTTCGGAACAACAGCGACGTCGGTCAGGCAAAACCTTCGATTGAAGATGTGGTCTATCTCGTTATGGAACTGTCCATCAGGTGACTCCCAAGTCCAACGAAGGTGAGGGGGCTTTTGGAACTGTGAGTTACCATGGATGGTGTTGGTCGACATGATAAACTCCGACAGTCTCTCACCCTGCTCATTCCATTCCATTCCGTGAGTACCGATGTGAAGTTCTTCAGCCGTTCTTCTTGGGCCAATCTTAGCGTTGAAGTCGCCGACGATGACCTTGAAGAAGGTATGATCTTCCCTGTAGAACTTCTCCAATTCCATATAGAATGCTTCGTGTTCTTCTTCGTCGTAGCTGGATGTTGGTGCGTAGGCGACGAAGATTGTCAAAGCAGGAGTTGAACCACATCTTCTCAATCTCAAACGTCCGATTCGGGTGTAAGGCTTTCGTACGAATCGATGTTTATGGCCAAGTGCGTGTTGACGAGGACACCCACACCGCCAACGCCTCTGCTGTCGCATGTTCCAAGGAACAGTTCTTCTCCAGTATCGAAAACGGCGTGTAGCGGGCGGTGCCTTCTCGTCTCGGTCAGTCCGATGACGTCGTACTTGATCTTCCTGGCCTGCATCATCAGATCTTCGATGTGAGCTTCGGATGCAAGCGTTCGTGCGTTGAAAGTACAGATCGCCATCTTAGTCCTTCTTCGTTTAGGCAGCCTATCCGGGCCCTGAGATTCTAGCAGCCTCTCCCGAGCGGTCCTACCCAACGCTGCCGTATTGGGGGCTCCCTCAGGTTCAGGGGAATGAGGCCCATCCATATTGCTGTTTTCGGCATATTGAAGGCACACGAGTAGCTTGCCAGGCTCTGTCGTGCGGGCTAGGATAGACCTCCAGGTAGTTAGCCACGCTATCCTGGAGCGGAACAAGGGGCTTATTTCTTGGAGGCGGCCCCGAATCGCCTCCCATGTACTTCCCAGTCACTTGAATGCAAGCTTTTGGCTGTGCCGACATGCAGGATACCAACCGCACACACACAGAGCGCACCACACACGCAAGCATGCATGGATGCGCCTGAGTGGAGACAGCTGGTATGAATCAACACAGCGCTACAGAAACAGGGAGTCCATCCCCTGAATCCACCTGCGTCTCAGGGCAAGTACATGGTGGCTTTTGGTCCGCGATTTACCCCCTATCCGCCACCTGGGGTCGCGCCACGTAGCCTCGCCACCAACCGGCTCGAGATCTTTCAGTGAGAGAGGACCCTCAGTGAAAGAGATCCGTGGAATTGATTAAGGATAAAGGATAAAGCATTTGCCGTTGATCAATCCCTTTTTGGGATGCGGCACGCATTCTACTTCCATTTGTACATTCGTAGTGGCGTTTGAATGCGATGTGGCCTATACAATGACTTGCGGGGGCCAGCCGATGTACAAGTCAGTGTTTTTATCCTCCCAGACAAGTCTGGTACCCCCGGAGGGATGGAAGGCTTGGTTGGCCCGGGCGACTCACGACCCAGGATTTGATCCCCGGACCGCTCGCGTGGTAAGCGTGCCACTTGCCACTACACCACTTCCGCCCATTGGTTACTGACAAACTGGTAATTAGGGTAACGGTAGGTACTCAGTAGATGCTTAGTTAGAAGAACAATTTAAAGAGTGAAAGATCAAATGAGGAGATATATCAGTGAGAGTAAGCGTGTGGGCCTCTCCTTGCGCTTAAATCTAGAAT